GGGGGGGGGGGGCATGATGAGTCCGTGATGGAGAAGGCAGTGATCTCATCAGACGCCTGACATACATAGCCAGAATTATTATGGAAAGGTAGCCTTCGCAGGTTTGTCTATTCAGCAAAAATGTCGGATAAAGAATGCAATCGGGGAAGTTGGGTTAGGGTTAGGGTTAGTTAATTAGGGTCTGCGTATCCCCTCCCTGTTCTATTTCCTCTGATTGCACTTAATTTGGAACGTAACCGAGAATCAATTCGGAAAATTTTTGAGGGGGAGGGGGGAGATCTAGACGTTTGAGGCTGTCTGGTATGGGTTACAGAGCGAACTGGCAGCCGTGCCGGACGACATGACAGGAAAGGAAACGGAGGAGGCGGGCGGGTGGGCGGGCATATGTCACGGGACTCCTTGCCCTCTGCTGCAAGGCGGCGCGCCGAGCGGTATTTCGGACGTATTTTTCCTTCGGCCAATAAGTGCTCTTACCTCAATTTGGTATCTTCGGTGTGCGTATTTGCGTGGTTCCGTTTTGGGCGGCTTATGTTGAGCCGCAAAGACATAATCACAAGGGGTGGTACTCTGCTGGCGCCATGTGTTTGGAATCTTTTTTGGGTGTGATGTAAGGCTGGCGTAAGACAAGTATGAATAATAAGGCATGATATTGTGGCAATAACTCACGGCCAGCAGTGTCGATGACTTGGTTGTCGAAGATCTTGTTGTAGGACGACCCCATGGACAACCGGATGCCCGCCTCGTTGTCCGTGCAGAGGTTGTCGCTGATCTCGATGTCTACCACAGCGCAGAACGGGACAAGGGAGGGACCGTGTTTGCGTCGATACTTTAGCTGGTACTGATGTGCGGTATGAAACAGTTGAGAAAGGTACGACGAGAGAATGGAGGGACTGAAACTAGGGGCGGGTGCGGGCCCTGAGTTGTCGGTGGAGGTGCTCTCGGATACGTACGGCATTGTACTGTAGCGCAAGAAAAGCGCAAAATAGCAGCTATTGTAGAACCACAAAAACCATGAATCGACGTCACGTGTAATCTAGAGGTTTACGTGAATCGATTCGCAAAATACGAGCAGTGAAAAATTCACCAAACAGCACGATCACACAGCTGTAGCCTACCGAAGGACTCGAAGATAGCAATGCAAGCACTCCCGGAGCCAGAGACGGTGTTGTTCCTGATGATTCCCCGATCGGAGGAGCGGTGGAGCATGATGCCGTGGAGGGCGTTGTCGTACACCACGTTGTTCTGGATGGACACGTCGTTGCACCTCTTCGAAGCAATGATACCGTGGTTGCCTGCAGCGGCAAAAAAAAATGGCGAGGACGCAGCCGAGACAGGATCGTTGGTTACGCTAGCTCGACCGATTCTTACGGCCATCGACCACTTTTTCTATGTTTTTCTACCAAGGCCAACCCCCCCGAAAAAAAAGCACGAGAGAGAGAAATCCGTGGGTGGTCGCACTTTCCACTCCGAAGATAACGACAAACCACGAAAAACAACTCTCTACATCAAACATTACAGGCTTTTCGGCATCAGCCTTCGCCAATCGCAGCCGAAAACTGCTTCTAGAGTGAAAACACAAGCACGCCGCCGTAAGAACCGGACGTAACGATCTACCTGCCACCGACGGCAGTAGTAGCTGTCCAGCTGAAACCAGGGGTCATACAGGAAGAGAACGAAATGCCTATGCAGCTGCGTGCGTTCTCACGCTGGTTTGCATCCCTCGCCCCTTTGAGAACTCCCACCTTCAACGCTGGTCACGTTTTCACTTTATACACGCAAAAACACACTTGACAACATCATAATACGATCTACAATGCAAGCGCCTTCGTGGCGCTCCTTGAAGCCTTCGGACAATGAAATGCGCGACGTCGAACCCTACTTACCGTTCTCGTAGACGATGTTATTGTGGATCCTTCATCATCGCAACATGAAGTTGAGGACGATTCGGGATGTGTCGGCAGCCAAGAATGCGACGGAGCGTGGGCGAATGTAGGGTGCAGGGGTGGAGAGAAGAAGGCTGTGAGAGACAGCAATGGACACACACCTAGGAACGGCGAAGGCACAAACCACGACACATGCAACACCAAAAAAAGCGAACGAAACTCCACTTGGCGCCGGTGGTGAGGAGGGAAGGGTGGCGAAACAACAGGAGAGATGTACACGAACAACAACTTCGGCCCATAGAAAAGCTAAGCCAAATACAAACATGGTGTAATAATATGCGTCGTCATGGATGAAACATACACACCAGTACGTAATTGTTTCGTGAATGATACACAAACGCATCCACACACACTACTATACAGGGGGAGATGAGCCAAGCCTCACACAATCGATCAATCGATCCCACTTCAATCATCGCTGGTACTAGGTGTCGCATTATCATTGCACGGAGATACCAGCGGGAAGAACGCAAGCATATCACACCAATCGAAGCTCACCGTAAGTTGTCAGAATCGTCGTGAGGGTCGAACCCGTATTGCCTGTGAGAGCGCAAAAACGGCCATTCGAACAGAAAACAAGAAAGTTTCAAGGTCCAGGACACATGAAAACAATCATGCGGGCAGCACGAATGGGGAATGGGGAGGAGGGGGGGAGACTCACATGCGCAGAAACGTAAGACGGAGCGCGCAAACCTTGGCAACGTGTACCAGTAGAATGGGGAACGACCGCGGTGACGGATTCACCAATATTCACGAATCCGGGTGTACCTCACGACCAAACCTGGTTGGTACCCGTACAAGAGCGTTTCGCAACATCTGTCCCCATGTTCGTTGAAATGACGTAAAAGTTGCTCGGCTGTTGTTTCCGCACCCACAAACTTGTAGACCTCTGTCAATCCCTCTTATCCCTCCTCCTCCTCCTTGCGCTCTCGCTTCACGGAAAAGAACCGATGACTGAAGTGCCGAAATCTGCCGCTATGGGGTAGTTGTCAAGGAAAAGCAACGAAAACTTTCTGTTTTTCTCGTATGCGTACACACCCAGTTCAGACTTTAAACCCCAATGACGACCGAAGCCCCCCTCCCCAACCCCTCGGCTTCCACAGCTTGCACGAAACGCCCAAAAAAGCCGCCCTGGCTATCTAGCACCTAGCTCACCCGCAGTTGTGCATGGTGTTGTACTCCCACAGCCCATCCTGATGTCCATACGAGTAGCTGCAACAGAAAAAAAAAACCCAGCAAGACAGGGTTTCGAAAATGTCGAGGGGGAATCTATACGGGGGGAGGGGGACCAGTTGGTTCATGGAACGCGTCATCGCAAGGGGGCCTCCAAGCGGTGGAAACCATGGCCACGGTGGTCGGGAGGTGGGGGGTGCTCCATGGTTTCCACTTGGAGGGTCCGTGGAGGAATGACGCGCCGGTGTATGGCGAACAACCGCGGCCTTCGCCGAAACTACCAAAAACAAACAGCACCAGCGGGCATGATCGAATGGACACATCACCAAGCGACGGCGGTCGCGCATCAATACAAAAGTGAAAATCGGCAAAATAAGGTTGTGTTTGGCGGAATTTGTCTTGTTTACGACTTGTTTTCCCTGTTCACGATATATTTTTCGTTTTCTTGTTAACGGTGTGTTTTTCGTTTTCTTGGATCACAAGTTTCGGCTTTCACGAGAATGCGGCCCAAGCTCCCCGAAACGTAAAAAATCGAAAAAAATACCAAAAAGAGCAACGGTAGGAAGTAGGCACTTGTAAAGAACACGGCAAAGCAACAAAAAGGAGGACACAACCACGTCAATGCGCTCAAGAAGTAAATGTACATTCATGTGCACGTCATGAAAGAAAAAAAAAGGCGCAACGCAACCCTCAACGGCTGAGCACTGTCTGCCTGAATCGGCATCAAGACCACCAAACAACAGGGGTATCCATGTCGTACACTGTGTTTGAATACTCACTGTCCGAACCAGTTGTGGTGTATGTCCGAGAAGCGGATGTCTCCCCTAACGCTAACGCGGTCGAATACCTCGGGGTTGGACTCGTCCGTGCAGTACCCTCGCACCTGTGGGCATCAAGAGGTATCGTTCAGTGCTTGTACTTTCTTAACACTTTGTCGTGTGCTCTTGGTAGTTTTTGTTGTCGGTTGCTCGCCTCGTCGTTACCCTTGCTCTTTTGATGGCTCTCTTGTCGCTCGCTCTTGATGGTAACGCTTGTTGCTTGCCTGTTCCCAAGCCAAGAATCAACCAACCGAAATCACCGACAGAGACAAAAAAAAAATAGTCGAGCAGCAACCCCTTTCTCAGCGAACCTCCGCGAGCGTTCGAAAAGCCTATTTCCATCGAGTTCAAGTAGGTCAAACCTTGTAGCTGATGCCATACGATTCCGCTGCCTGGTAGCCTAGGTAGGCCACCTCGCTGTTGATGACTGCACACGCGTGTGGCAACAAGAGATGGTCGGGGAAGAGGGAATCGGGGAGGGGGGGGGGGGGGGGGGGNGCGGGACGGTCTTGGGAGCGTGGCAGCTTGACCCACCGACCGCAGTTGAGACAGACCACACCTTCTTGCAACCAACGCAATTCTTTGCCATCGTTCCGGTCCGATATGGTCCAACGACAACAACAACGAAAGTAGCAACAACACCAACGCAAGCACCAAGACCAGCACCACAGAGTTAACACAAGCACCAACATCGACACCAACACCTATGTCAGCACGAGCACCGACACCACCACCACCACCACCAACAATACCAACAACAACAATACCAACAACAACAACAACAACAACAACAACAACAAC